GATATATTAATTTAATCAACGTTAACAAAACCAAACAAAATTCGACAAATACCTTATTTTATGTTCAAAACAAGATACGCCAAGAACCTAAGCCTAACCGAAACATTATGAGTCTTCAAAGCAAAATCAAATCGTAATGAACTAAGAAAAACAAAAAGAAACATGACACTGAAACAGTTTATGTATGTACCAGAGTCAACGAAGAAGACCATGTCGGAATGAAGAAGAAGAGGGAGCAAAAGTGTGTTTGGTTCCAACGTTATGGAATGTATCTTGTAAGGCCCCATTCCTCCACATCCATCTCCGATTTGAACGGTTGAGATGTGTCCCAACTTCGTCGTAAAGATTGGTTTCCATTGATCTTTCTTAATCAGCAGAGGCGACGAAAACCCGCAACACGACGGCGCTACGACGTCGTTTTCGTCCGATTCATCCGACTTAGCCAACGATTCAGTAGAGAGGAACAAGAGAAGGAGAAGAACAGAGAGTGGCAATACCGTAAATTTAGTCATCTCTGTTTTCTTATAATTTAATTGCAAAAGCGTATTAAATCGTATAATATAAAGAAACGAGGAATAGAGAGAGAGAGATAATAGGGTTCAGAATCACCACGTGTCTCAATTGTATGGACACGTGCTTGCCTTACGTTGACAAGTGCATGGTTCTTGTTGGAAAACAACAAATTACTGCTAAAATACAAAGCTCGAATTTGAAAAATTGAACTGATAAGAACCATTGGTGATATGTATGAACAATAGAGATGCATAGTTTGTATCGTAAGACCAATTATATGTTACCGTTTCATCATCTCGTGACTCAAAATGTATTATATTTTTGTAACTTTTCATTTAATGAAATCGTGTTACCATGCATGCATACTGTGTCAAATACGAATTTATCTTTTTGCGCTTATGTGGTTGTGGCAGTCTTATCGTTTTTCCAATTCATCGGACACCTAAAACCCAAAACTAGACTGAATTGTGATATTTAATACTATATTTTTTTGGTTTTAGTAATTAC